TTGAAATGCACAACTTGATGGTGTCGACTAGACTCTCAACGAAGTGTGTGACTGTAAATTCTAGTATGGTTTCGGTGTGCCATAGGGGTCGAATCTCGAGAAGATCGTTTGTAAAACGTAATTCGAGGTGAAGGACGCCCTTTGCTCACTACCATTAGCGACTTGGCAACATAAACGGATTATTTGCTCACTTCATCTATCGCCTCTTCGGACGTTTGGGATAAAGAACTGGTGCTCAGTAAAAGCGAGACAGGACTTGGAATAGCGGCATCCTGTGTTGATACAACTTTCGTGATATGTTGTGAAATTTCTGAAGTAACCTGCTGGACATTATCTTGCGATGTGCTCATCACTTCGCCTAGCGAAAGGCGCCCCTTCACGGGCTCATGCTCGAAACTATTCTCTCGAGTTTTGTAAGCCCAGTCATAAGATATCTGGCTACCTTCATCCTGTATCCTTAAAAGCACGATGAGCCAGGATACAAGTAGGATTTCTTCTCTCATGCCAGTTTTAGTGATGGCCTGATCACACGCAAGACCCTTGACATTGAAAGCTCTAAAGCCTTCGCTGTCAGGCTGGCCAGGTAATAGGTCAACAAACCCATTTCCAGGTGAATGTTGACTTTGTAAATCATCAATATGTGCAGAACTCATCCTGTCGACAGCCAGAGCTTATGGTTGTGTGGTTTTGGCGGTGATCTGAGATTTGAAAAGGGAAAAGCTGAAATTCAGCCGTGTGTTCAATTCCGTTAAGATTTGCACCGGTTGCACTTTATTGAGATATTATGTTTGATTCGAAATCGGAGTGCTGGGGTATTAAGGATCTCGATAGCAAATCTCCTTCCTTTGAGAGTAAAGCAGCAAAGCCACTATCTCTGTTATTATCTTTGTGTTGGTCAGGATCAATACCCATATTGCGTTACCTGTGTGGGTGCGGTATGATAGTGTGATTTTGAGCATAGGAGCTCGCCAAACACGCAATCACCATGACTCAACTGGAAAGAACAGACCGGGAAGAGTGTCATGGTTTTTAGCCTACTTTTAAGGAAGCTGTTGGTTAGTAAGTTAATATAAGACATAAAATATTCATCCTTGTTGTTTGACAAGATGTAATAATGGGACTTTCCCATTAGCTCGAGCCTAACTAATTCCACTAGCGGATATCTCAGGATTAAATTTTCACCCCGCTGATCCCATGATTGCCATCGGATCTGATAATAATTAGCAAACCGAGCTAGTTTCGTAATCCACCGTACACGAGTTGGATTTCAGGTGACGTAAAAGATGAGCTCGGTCTTCTTTCCTATAATGCTTTATTATTTAATTAGTTTATCAGATTGTGATGAGTTATGGGGTCCAAGAAATTATCAGATCTTTTTCAATCTCATCTGATAAGATAATAGATTACCATCAATGACCTCGGGGGGCGGGACTTTTAGCAATACGGTTACGACTATTCCAGCTGCCCCAGCTAGTACGGCTCTGGTATAGATTTTTGAGCGAAATAAATTAATAAGATTGATTAGATATTTATCCATGTCATCTGATAAGATAATAATTACATGTCTTTCTCCACTTCTCCTTGGCTGTCTCCACTACATACTCAAAATTTTCTCTCAACACATGAAAATGGACAGCTGCATCGAAGGAGCCTGTCTCGTCTGCGTATCTCGAGCCTATCTATACCATTTTTCCTTTCTGAAATAGCGCTGCAGTATCCTGAATCGCCATCACACCCTCTCACAACTTTGAGTTTACCCACTTCGGTGGTCGTTTGTCCACATATGCTTGAATACCTTCGGCAAAATTAGGACTTTTAACCAGACGAGGATACCATTCATCAGCCAAAGTCGACACAGTCTCTTCTACACTTCCAGCTTCCCAGCCCAATCTGATACCCATACGACCAATAATCAACGCATCAGGACTGTTCTTGCACATATCTTGAGCAACTTGAACAGCAAGATCAACAACATCTGTACCAGACTCTGCTACTCGAGTGATAAGTCCCCAATCACTCAGAGTCTGAGCACTTACGTTTCTACCGGTTAAAACCAGGTCCGAGGTGCGTTGCAAACCCAGGGTGCGAACTAGCCTCGGTAGACACCCCGCCACAGGGACGATCCCACGCTTCGCTTCGGGCAGAGAAAAGACGGCCGTGGAGGCAGCAACTACGACATCGCAATTGGTTATCATTTCGAATCCCCCTCCCATGCATATGCCATTGACTGCAGCAATAATAGGCTTTTTGCCACTTCGACGTGGGAGTCCTGCAAGACCTGGTGCAGACATGTCATTGACAACCCCTGCTCTATTCATCTCGTTCCATTCTGTTCTCGCCAGTTTTGATTAGTTTTCGTGCAAAAAGTATAATTCGATACTGAATTGTGACTGAATATTGGAAATTTCTAACCTTGTAAATCGGCTCCAGTGCAGAAGGCTCTCCCCACACCGGTGATAATTCCAACCCAGAGGCTTTCATCTTGATCAAAAAGCTCCCATACTCTTTGAATCTCCCGACTCGTGGCTTGATCGATACAATTGAGCTTCTCAGGTCTATTCAATGTGACCTGCACAATTCGTTCTTGAGGAAAAGAGACATTAAAATGTTTGAAATTCAAGGATCTTGATCTGAGAGACATGTTAACAGTGGGTCGATGTATAGTAGGTCACTATTGCCAGCCACGCAAAATCTCATACAGGTAGAAAGGATAATATTTTGACTAGTTTTACGAGCTTCCCGTCAAGTAACTTTATAATATTTTATTGATCAGTGCGTCCACCATCTACCGTCTAGCAGGCTCGAGGCAGGTAAATGTAGGTATGGTATGGATAGTGCGTTCTTAATTTCTTGTTTAGTAAATTTCCCTAGAAAGCTTTCTCTCGCTTCGACATCCCTGAGATTGAGACTCCATTTGAAGCACAATCGAATTGGCTTGCGATGTGAATTTGCGGTATCGGAATATCGGCTTGAGAAAGGTATGGATACAGTTGTAACTTAGTAATAGTTACTATATGGAAGAATGTGTAGCGTTGCAATTACCCTGCTCGGTCCGAGTATCTCCTGTTATTTGTATGGAAGTGGGGTATGTATGAGTTACATACCAAGGTAGGTAGATCAACGACATTGTGTTTGTCTTGCCCCGGCATTGAATCCGTAACGAATCTAGAGCGTTTCTCTATTTTGCTAGACCGATATTTCTTAAAAGTCAAAAAGTCAGGAACTTGCCTTGGTCCAATCCTCATGAATGGTGTTATACTATCCTTGGTGAAAATCATTATTACCAATGTAAATTAAACAGTTGTATATACTTGTATAGACCATGTTGTAGTTTTTAGTGTCCTATTCACATCCAAACTCTTTCAATAAACTGCCGTGACAGTATCGTGTCTCTATATTCTTAATAAATTTCATATCATAAACTTCGCGAGGATGGCACCACACAAGTACCCTCTGGTAAAATTACCACATCCTTTTTTGACTACATATCGAGTAAATACCAACACGGAAACAACACCAGCTAAACATACTTTGGCATTGGATGGTCAGCAACCCACATCTGGAAAGTCTTTACCTCAACCATTACATTCCGATGCTCTTTCATGGCTTGATTTGGTGACCAGGCGCGAAGATGAGTGCCCCCCTCTATCTGACAATACCGCCTGGGGAAGAGCATGTCGAAGCCCACAAACCACCTTCGAATGGACAGGAAACAATGCTCCTACATTGGGCCAAGTCTGGAATGTTGTCCACGCAATATATCTCGCTCATCCAACGATAGAATATTTCCGATTGACTTTGAGTGGCTCCGAGAAAGAGGTTATCCGAAGCGAGTTGCTATCTACTGGTTTGGGAATTGAGCACCCAAAACCATGGCGATTCTCAAGCGCAGCAAAAACCGCATCGCCCACCGAAGAATTGTTAATTCTCCGAGGTGCATTCTGGCAAGGAGCTGCCTCACCACTTGGCCCTCGCCCTATCTGGGTAATTGGAGATGGTACCGACGGTCCAATCCGAGGATCACTAGCCCAATATCCAGTCATGCCCGAGAACTACCAACTCACCATGAAATTTCCCGAAGAAGCTGTTTACACTCACCACCCAACACGCCGTCCTAAGCCACACCCGGGATCTATTTGCTACAGTCGCTATATTCCCGAATTGGACGAGCATTTCTCTCTCGAAGTGGTTGATTGGCAAAACGATGCACATTTGAAGACTTTCAACACGTGGCAAAATGATCCTCGTGTTGCTAAGGGCTGGAACGAAACTGGAACATTGGACCAGCATCGTGAGTATCTACGCAAGTTGAACTTCGATCCTCATGTGCTGTGTCTATTTGGACGCTTCAACGATACCCGATTCTCCTATTTTGAGCTCTACTGGGCGAAAGTAAGTTGACATCTCCTTTTATGACTCTTATTCAACGTTATTCCATTCATACTGACATGATACCACAGGAGGATCACTATGGTGCACACTACAACGCTGGAGATTATGATCGCGGACGCCACTCTCTCGTCGGCGATGCTTCATTCCGTGGCCCACAGCGTGTTAATGCCTGGTATTCAAGCTGTATCCATTATGTATTCCTCGACGATCCACGAACTGTGAATGCAGTTGGTGAGCCCAAAGCAACAGGCGCTACCATCTTGTCTTACGAGAATGCCCAAGGTCTTACCATTGGAAAATATGTTGATCTAGGGCACAAAAGATCAGTTCATTCAATCTGTAGCCGGGAGAAATGGTTCCAGCTATGTCCTCTGTTCTGGGATGGAAGAAAACAGCCATTGGAATCTGCAGATCGAGCAGCGTGGAATTCGATTTACGCCCCGAAGCTGTAAGCTTCAAATAGCTAAGATGCGCTATTAAGATGAGAATGATTTGTACATATTAGTCGTTGGAGATGTGGAATTGGTTTAAAAAAGCGAGCAAACCTTGTAATTTCAATAATAAAAGCGAAGTCTAACCAGTATGCATTCTTTTTTGCGGCGAGTTGGTAATGAGATGCCATCTGACCAAATTTATTGTAATTTGTCAATCTCTTAATATAAGGCTATCCACAAGCAGGAAAAACATTAAGTGATGCTACAATCATTACTTTGGTAGTTAATTCGATTGTCAAACAGGAAAGAAGCCAATTAGAACCGCAGAATTTATGAGTGAAGACAATTTAGCAGACCAAGTCAACATCCATCCAATTGAAATACCATCGGCTTATCCTATATCAAGAACCCTAGAGAACTCCAAGCAACTCCTATAGCCACGTTCAAAATCCCAAGTCCAGCGCAGGACTTTTGTGACAGCGTTCCAACAATCGATCCAACAACCGATCTCTATGTACTGCTTCTTCTACTTCAAGCGAAGAAACAGCGTCAATGAGCATATATTCTTGACCATTGCCCACAACACGGCGAACAAAAACACCCTAAAGCTGATCCTTACAATATCAAAGCCCCTATTGCAATCCCAAGTGCCAGCGTGATAATTTTTCCCTAAAATCGAGGTCAATGAGTTATTCTTGGTGCAGCTCTCCAAGCCAAGACATATATGAATGAAGACATACCATCCTACAAATTCCCCTCCTAGCCTCACTACTCATATCCTGCACCCTTGCCACTCCAGTGGGCTTTGCAGTCGCAGTTTCTGTCACAAACACCGTGCTCCCCGCCGTTCCACTCGTTGTCAAATCTGCGTTTCCTCCAAGTAGTCCTCCATTTCTCACAGGACCAGCAGTCTCTCCACTCTGATGTAAGATTCCACTTGCACCTGGAATCGTGCTCGTGCTAATTATCCTCACAGTTGATGTTCCAAGAGTTGTGGCTCCTACCGCGGTCCCATTGACGATGCCATTGACGCGAGTCGCACAGTTTGCATCGGAGTCACACGTTGTGTTAACTTGCTGGATATTGGTGCTTCCTTGTCCGTCTGCAAAAGAGCTGGAAGAGGATGAATATGAGGATGAGGATGATTTGCCATTGGTTAGATCTGCTGAGGGAGCAAAAGAAGCCGTGTCAGGTATGGACGGAATGTTAATATCAGGAAAATTGATCGATTGAGCGTTTGTGAAAAGGGCGAGGAAAGGTGTGAGAATGGAGGGTTGAAACTGCATGACTGTAGCTACAAGTGATTGTCTGGCGGTCAGTCAAAAACGAGAATATAACGAGCGGCTGGAGCAAGTTGTTCTAACCGTCGTATAATTTATAAACATTGTAGAAGAATATTGCCATCTATGATTATCAATCTCACTGGGGGGCAAAATTCCAGCGAACAAAAATGGTAGGAAATTTGCCTGTGGAATGTAGAAACGTGCCCTTGGTGGCAATAACATTCCTGTAAGAGGTTGAACACCAGAAAAAAATAACAATCATGAAACAATAGCCAGGAGCAAGATCATCTGCTTCATACATAGTTCGTGCCAATTGGTGTCCTATTTGCAGAAAGGCTACCTGATTTGGTGAATAATTCTTTACCATATATCCAATCAGATTTGATGGACAAATTTTTATTATTATGACAAACGACGAATCGCCTTGACAGTTATGCTGCGTAGGTATACATTTACATCTTCCAATTCGACTTCCAGTAGATCGCCAGCTTTGACACTCTCAATATCAAAAGTCTCAGATCCTACCAATTTCGCTGGGGCATCAAAAAAGTTCAACTTGCCCCATGTGCTACTGTATGTAACATCTTCGCTAGCGACAAAGTTGAAGGTAGGAGGAAGAGGAGCCTCCTTAAATTGCCATGCGCGAATCAGAAAATGGCATAACCAGTGTCTAATAGAATCCCTGTTGCCTTGTTTAATCATTCTTTCGCGAGCATCGAGATGAGAAATGATGCGATCAAGCTCGGCTTTTGTGAATGGAAGGAAATCTTCCTTGGTGTTATTTTTAAGATCATGACCTAGACGTGCTTCTTCCCGAAGTGCAGCGTGGACTTGCCAATGGAGTAACAAATCACCGTAGCGGCGCAGAGGGCTTGTACACTTGGCCATCATTTCGACGCCGACTGCCACATGCGGGCCTGGGATAGTGGATGGAAGTATTGTGCCAAGCAGTCGAAAATATTGCAGAGCAATATTAACTGGAGGGTGGCCATGCTCGTCCAGTGAAGGTAATACGACTTCTCTATAGAATTCCAACGGATCTTTTTTGTTTGTATTGCGAGGAGTGACACGATAAGGGACGGTAACCCCTCTATCGTAGCACCATCGTGCTGCGACCTCTGCGGCGATTAACATAAGTGGTGCAACTGCGTCTATCTTTGAACCCAGACTACTAGATTCTTCTTTCTGTAATTGAATTGTTCCCGCTGTGGGCGACACTGATACATTAACATTGACAGAGCTCATGGAAACACCACCATGAGCTATACGTTGCTTGAGCCGAGCATCGCCAATCCTGTGTAGTATTCGAAGGTCTTCCTTGTGTTCGTCAGAAAGCTGATGGCTTGACAGCATAGTCCTCTTCTCCGAAGTATGGGCTATAGTTGACCCAACAGTACTGGAAATGGAAGTGATATTAGAGTCTGTAGAATCACTTCCGGTTATGACTTCAGCAACTACCTTGGGTGTCATAAATTTTACATCTAAAAGAGTGCGTGGAGATATCTTTGTATCCAGTATGTCACCATTTAAATTCATCTTCGCGCTAAACGTCAAAGAGGGACGGTTAGTGTCGAGACTGAGGTTATTTTGCACGAAATCAGACGGCAATAAGAAATACACTTCTTTGGGCGAATAGATGGTTTCAGTACGATCTGAAATCTCATCCGCAAACTCACCCTTTGCTTCTAATCGTGAGGCAGGATCGGCTGCATGAACATGAACCCAGTACTCGTTTGGTGTTTCAGTGCGTTCGATTGATACTCCATCATCAACTTCGTGAGCATCTACAGAATCAATACAGTAAACCGGTAGATGGAACTCCCCTCGAAGAGCCGACATACTATCTTCAGAAGTAAAACAGTCTTTCTGAGAAATATCGTTGCACCCGTGATCATGAACTCGAAGATCGTAGGCTACCCTGTTCGTAGTGGGATGAATCTCACCAATTTCTTGCAAGAAAGTCCATGCAGTGCTTTGATCCAATTGGAACTCCTCGTATCGTGCTATGACTCGAAGAAGGATGGAGCCCGCCGAATTTATTGTGGAGTTGCGATCAATGGTTCGAAAAGCCGCCCATGACTTCAAAAACTCTGTATATGGCGATGGACTAACTTGGCGTGGAAATTCCATTTTCTCATCCGAGATATTTAGCGGTCTAATGGTACCATGGGTTGTGAGTTGACGTGATTTGCGACTTTCGTCTATGACCTCCTGACAATCTTTGACCCATTTAAGTAGAGAGCTCTTTTTAAACATCAAATTCGTCTCCGAGGCCTTTTGATACTTGCGAACTTCCTCGACAACGTACATAATATTCTTTACCTCTGCTTTGGAGCTAATTTCGTACTGCCCGCCAGTTCTAGTCGCCCCCCTCAATTGTGGTCGAAACCCAATTGCATCGCGCATAAGGGAACGATGTAGGGCATATAATACAGGGTAAGAATGTGAACCATTCCTCGCTCTTGAATTGCTGCGAGGAATAATTTCATTGGCTAGCTCGATTAATGTAGCATACCGGAAAGATTTATCTTTGGCAACGAGATGGTGAGCATGATCTAGCTTGGAAAAGGTGCTTTGATAAAGCTCTTCAGATTCATCCCAGAACCTTTGCATCTTTTCTAAAATGTGCTTGGTTGCTTCTCTAGGGACTTGTTGATCGAATTTGTGTACATCTGACCCATCCGATTGTCCAGCTCCCGCTAATGATAGAAAAGGTCGAATTGTGTTCAATTCATCGTTGCTAATGAAGCCTGGGACATAAAAGTGCGTAGATTTCATAGAGCCCTTAATCAGAGTGCCAGACATTGTATAGAATTCGGCAAGTCTACCGACATCGCGTATGTATATTGCAAGTTCTTGTCTTTGCCCTTTGCCACTAGTCGACTTATGTCAGTTCTGTATCCGAATTCTAATGGTGGGATATAGTGAGTAAACACACATAACTTCAACGAGATCCCCAGGAATTAAGAACCCACGCCTACTCCCAACATCGACCAAATCATCAAATCTAACAGTAGAGATGTCATCATGCACTGCATCCTCTTCGTCATCGATTTCGAACTTGGTATCCTGGATGCGACTGCTGGCATTGTCCAAACTTCCAGGTGAAGCATCATCATTGATTGTGACAGGAATGTATTGACTGGCATGCTCTGCCTCCCACGCTTCTAGCCGCTTTCTAATCGGCGCCAACCCTTCCTTCCGTTTGTACAAAACATCAGACGAACCGGGAAGTTTGCGATTTTGCGTCTCTATTTCGGCCTGGCTCTTGAAACTAAGTCAGAAAAGTATATTTGACAGAATGAAAACTTTTACTTACTACATGGCTGGTGCTGAACGACTTCGTACCTCGCCTTAATATTGTCTTTTGCCTCGATTGACCATTTCCATCTAGGCCTTGTAGGAGTTGTCGCCCTCCAAGTATTGCCCCGGAATTGAAGTTTGCGAGACACTTCCAGCAAACGAATGGTCGCACATTATTTCTTGAGAGCTGAGAAGTTCTCAACATAGTCTTCACACACTGTGACAATTGGCGAGCACTTATTATTATGTAGACTTCTGGAAATGTGAGGTATTTGATCGGCAAAATTTCTCCGATCTATCGAGATAACGTTTTACACGACGTTATCGCGTTTGCACGTGAGATGATCAAAACCTGGCCCATGCTCCCTCTAGAGCACAGTCAGTATTTATTTTCTACTTTTTCCTCTTTACCCAACATCAACTGTGAATCTTTCCCACGAGCCTTCTGTTCATTATACTGGCACAACAAGAACTGAAACTCTTTAGCTATTATTTTGAGGTAAGATATATTCCTGTTTGTCTTGCATCACTCGATAGCTTCTCTTTCTATTACAATACAACTTGTATGATGAACAAAAATTAGCATGTATTACCTGAAGATATATTGTTTCGACAATATTTCGCTGTGGTCTACACCAAGATCTCTGACTTTTCATAACTTCTTGCATATTCGTGTCCTATTGGATCATGGCCTATGACTAATGATTATTTCTCACAGATTTTTTCGGAGAGCATGTCTGACTTCAAGGAAGGACAATTCACTGTTCTTTATTTTGCTACTGCTAGCTCATACACCTCAAAGGATTCCGAGACTTTTTCTGCCCCTCTCCCTCTTTCAAGATTGTTCGAAATTTTAGAGGATCGCTACAATGGAATGAAAGACAATGTCTTGCGCAGTTGCCTAGTGACTATCAACTTAGAATATGTTGATATCCCAGAGACAGGCTCTGATGGCACGGAAATAACCATCAAAGATGGGGATGAGGTAGCCATTATCCCGCCAGTGAGCTCCGGATAAGGGAGTGCCATTTGTGATATTCGATAATATTTATGCCTCATTTGAAAGCCTTGTGAAGTCTTAGTCTCGTTTTGTTAGCATATTTAATCTACACATTTAATTTCACAAATATTATCCAACTTTCTGATGAATTCATGGTTGCTTTCGGATGCTTCAGGAGCTTGCCCTTCCGCAATGACGGCATTGAAATACAGCTTCGCCGTAAGCATGATAACTGGGAGAAGATATTGAGCGACGTACTGGGGATATGTGAAATCTCTTGTATTTCTTGCAGAGCTTTGAGACACAGGAGAGCTGTACGGCAAACGTTTGGTCTTGAACTCTTGCAGGCCCAGGGGATCATCCCAATTGTTCTTGCGAGATCAGGCGTTGGCCCATTCTGCAAGGTGTCTAGCAAATAGAAGGGTGACTTGAGAGTTTGCATGGGAGAAGGCCAAAGGAGGGCCAAAGATTGGATGAGGGCGCGAGAACTCATAGGGCCAGCGTGAGGAGCGATCCTGAGGCAGAGGATTGACAGGAGAACCATGAGATATTCTCTGAATAGATATGGAAGGGAGTGTAGAAATACCCAATGGAGGGTCTGGGTGTCGCGTGGAAGAAAATAATGGAAGAGGGACGGCAGTAATATCACCAATATGATGTGTTTAATGGGTCTTTCTGGAGAAGAGGAAGATTGGCATATAATATCCAGAAGGCGGAGAACCTTACAATGTGAATGTGTCGAGAGACACTCAAATCGTTAGTGAAGACTCAGCCAAAACAAGTCTCATAGGGCAGGAATTTGAAAGTGGGAAAGAGACACAAGAGAATGGGGAAAGAGCTACGAAGCCAACTTGTCATTGAACTATGTATCCATAGCCCAAATCATTATTTAATTCGAGACACTTTGCTCCAAATCTATTCTAATAATGGACGAGATTCTGGGGAATCATTTGCCTCAACCACTCCTGAGTCCTTCTTCTTCTTCCAGAATCTCCTTGGATACTGCCTCGATATCTTCCACCACCTTTGGTTCGTTTCTCCAGTTCTCAAGCACTTCATTATGAGAATAATAATCCCCAATGCCAAAAGTGTTCCATAAATTGATCCGAGAAATGTCAAAAATGTGATGCTGAGCCTTGATTAGTCTTGAAACAAATGGGATCCATCGACTTGAGCGCCACTTACGTTGAAACGTGACAACCTAGAGGTTTCGCTCTCAATTCCCATCGTTCAGACCAGAGAGGGCAAATATTACTGTTGAAAATGGGTGCGAGGATCTTCATAGGAGATGTATTTGGAACGCAGGTAGAGGATACAGCACACCACGAGCAAGGGCTTACTGACAAACAATCCCAGCAGTCTTGGTGTCCCCAGCATCTATTCAGCAAATCATCTGAAGTTTGGTTCTCATCGAATTTACTTGATGTGTTTGTGTCCATCATATATATACTCGGATGGTATTGCAGACCATCAGGTTCATCGACTTAAGGTAGTTTTGTGAGTTGCCCCGCAACTAAGGAATTTCCAGTTGAAAGACGAGGTCAAATAGAGTAGAAGTAGAGTAGGTAGCTTTAAATTGTACAAAGGAAGTCTCATCTGACGATGAATTGTTCGTAAGAGGTTGTCGTATTCTTGAATGTCTGATTCTCACGCAAACAATAAGAGAGGAAGAAAGTGGATGAGCTATAGTAGAGTAAGTAGGATCGTACTTTGCAAACGCTCCAACTTCGTAGGTACCAGTATATTTATTACATTGCTATGAATTTATACCAACTACGACGACCAATGAATCATCACATATACTACCAAGTATCTAGAAACAGAATTTAATTCTTTTAAATAAATAAACATTGTTTTTCCATCCAGATTACATATAAAGTAAGCCACAACTTGTATGTAAAAAGTCGTATGACAAAATAATCCCTCCATACATACCTACGTATATTATCGTTGTTATTGTTTTGTTTCGTTTCGTTTCGTTTCATTTCGTTTTGTTGCTTCCCTCTCCCCAGCTTTTCTCTTACCTCGAGCCTACTAGCGCTAAAATTCACAACGCCGGATCTTTTGACCATCGCATCCACGGCATCACAACTCTCCGATCGGACAGTCGGCACGAAATCAACAATCGCAATGGAAAATAATCCTTTAAATCTGGGTCAAATTGATCCTCGACTTCGAGATGAATCTAACACAAATTCGTTTGCGCAACCTCAACAGCACCCACATTCAGAAGCCCATCACCAACTTCATAATCTAAACACTCAAATTCCTGCAAGCGGACCTCGATTATCTGGTCCATCACCCACACAGCTTGCACAGCTACAACAGTATCATCAACCTACTCACGATGGAGACCAATCTCAAATATATATGCCTCAAACACCCCAGTCAGCGACCCATACGCCAGACGATGGACACATGCTGGGAGACGCGTCGGCCGATCCAAAGCGATCAAGAGCTTGCGAAGCTTGTCGAGGATTGAAAGTTAAATGCGAACCCGATATGATCAATTTCGATGGTCCTTGCAAACGATGCACCAAAGCTAATCGGCAATGCGTCGTTACTGTACCAAGTCGAAAGAGACAGAAGAAAGCAGATAGCAGGGTTGCTGAGTTGGAGAAGAGGGTGGAAGCTTTAACAGCTACCTTGCAAGCAACGAGATCGGCATCCACCCCAACAGTGCATGGTGTTGAATCTGGTCTTGAGGAGCAGGGTCAACAGTTTTCAGCAAGACAGAATCCATATGAGCAGGTTACAAATGGAGGTTTCGCGTCGCCTTACTTAGGCCCTGCTGAATCGAGAATGAACTCCAACGACTGGTCCAACTATCCCAAAGCTTCTCAGCCTGAGAGCCAGGCACTGTCTGCACCCCCGATGGTCATGGCAGGTCAGAAGAGGAAGCATGCTGAGAGCCAAGATGGTACTCCACCTGACTCTTTCATGACTACTAATTTCATGGGACAGAAGACCCCAGACCCAAATGCGCACCAAGCATCATGGCATGCGCAACTAAAGCAAACCCCTTCCCACGAATATGCAGATGTGGTAGATAGAGGATTGATAACGTCAGAAATTGCTACTAAAATGTTTAATTGTTATGTTGAAAGAATGGCCCCCCATATGCCAGCCGTCGTCTTTCCTGCACGTACTACTGCTTCTGAGATTCGCAAAACAAAGCCAATTTTATTCTTAGCTATATTGAGCGCTAGCTCGGGCACAAATTTTCCAGCGCTGCAAAAACAGTTGACGAAGGAAGTGATGAGTATCTATGCGGATCGCATCATTTGCAATGGCGAGAAGACATTGGAGCTTATACAAGCTCTTCTTGTCAGCACTCTCTGGTATTGGCCACCGGAACATTTTGAAGAGCTAAAATTCTATCAACTTATTCACATTGCGGCAGTCATGGCAATTGATATTGGAATGGGCAAGAAAGGAAAGAGTGGTAAAACTGATAAAATGAAGAGCGCGGGATTGTGGAGGGATCATCCGTGGCGTCGAACACCATACCCCGACCCCGAAACTGTTGAAGCAAGACGTACGTGGTTGGGTTGCTACTTTTTATGTTGCAATGCATCTATGGGTTTACGGCGACCAAATCTCATTCGTTGGTCCCCGTTCATGGCAGAATCTGTTAAAATACTTCAGAACTCGCCAGACGCAGCACCTACTGATAACATGTTATGTCAATGGGTTCTGAGTCAGCGGATTGCTGAGGAAGTTGGAATATCATTTTCCATGGATGACCCAAGTGCAAGCATTAGTATTGCCGACCCGAAGGTTCAGTATGCCCTTAAAGGTTTCGAACAAGAGCTTGATAAATGGAGCAAGTCCATACCCCCCGAGGTTCAAACACGTAAGTAGTAAACTCAACTGATTAGACATTGATTACTGACAGTGTCACATAGCATCTTTAACCTTGACGGAACATGTCATCAATCTTTATATGCATGAAGTCGCTATGCATGTCGACCACAACGTCGAAGAGTTCAAGCCGCCATTCACTGAAGCAGCTTTACATGGCCCTGCAGAGAGCCCAGATGTCTTGACCGCTGCTCATATTTCTGCTCTTTCCTGTTGTTTGACATCCATCGACGGCATTTTTGAAACTTTCCTGCAATTTGAAGTTGATGTCATTAGATGTCTCCCTGTTGCGCACTTCGTTAGAGTTGCTTATGCTGTCGTTGTTCTTATTAAGATGTATTTTGCGGCAGCTAACCCTAATGGTGAGTTGGGCAAGGTTTTCATCAAGGACAACATGAAAGTGGAACACTATCTCGACGGTCTGGTCGAGGTGTTCCGTGCCTCTGCAGCAGATGAGAGATCTCGCCCCGCTGCGAAATTCTTGATGGTTCTCATAATGTTGAAAACCTGGTTCCATCGCCAACGAGAGGGGAAATCGACATCTGCACAAAATCTAGAGACCGGCGACTCTACAAAACACACCGGTGACAATTCTGGAGAAGCTGCGAACCAGGCAGATCAAAATGCTCAACAAATGGGCTCACAACGCAGCGGTAAACCAGGCTACAGTCCTGTCCCTGCGAATACACCCCTCCAACTTCTTAGTGAAGTCGCAACCGGTAATTCCGGTGGTTCCCGTCCTGATAATCAAAATCAAGCTCAAAACCAAAACCAATACGCAGTTCAACAAAACGACTGGTCAGCACAACAACAGCAGCCATATTCTTCCACCTACGAGCCATCCCTTAACCCCATGAATGCTCAAATGCTTCAAGGCTACGGCGATATACCCGGAAATATCGATCCTTCTTTAGGCATGGATCTAGGATTTGCAATGGGCGATGGATTCGAACAAGCAATGGGTATTACATTTGGCGTTGGCGATATTGGGAACTATTTCGGCGACGATATTTTTGGTCAGTTTATGGGTGGTAATGTTCCGGGGTTTGAAGGTGCATTATAGGATTGCGGTTCCGCATGCAAGGATTTCTGATGGCCCTTTTTCTCTTCTTTTTCTTTTGACGGGTAAGGGGGAGAGCAGGTGTGACTCTTGAAGATGAGAAGCAGAGTCACATTTTTTTGTATTTATCACTATGACTTACTTCTACGGGTGGATATGGCACACAGAGACATTTCTTGAAATTTTTGGGGACCAGGTAGCTAGCTAGCTACTTATTTTCAATCAGTAGCCCTAGCATGTATACGTGTATATGGATGAGCGCGAGCGCAATATGATGGTTGAAATCAATATACTTTCTACATGATTTATTGCATCGTTTGTCAATTGATTAGTCGCTAATGTCAGCATCGATATCGATACCATAACATATTTACTATAGTAGTAGTGGTAGTAAATTTTCAGTTGATTCAATCTACCTATACCCATCTACCTAGTCAACATACCACATACCACCTACCACTCACCCCATCACATAGCACACCTCATACACATATAGCCGTAAGCAAATAAACAATCATAAAGAATATAACATCTCCATTCATCTATCTACGCCAGTATAACAAGCAACGAGTCATGAAGATTGGTATCCTTGTCTTAGGTATCCGTATATCCCTATTCCTATCCCTATCCATACCCATACCCATACCCATACCCATACCCGTATCCGTATCCGACCCAACCTTCTATAAACACCATGTCCCATAAAGAGTCGTTTCGTCAATGTAATGAATGAATCAATGAATGTGCATGCTATATGGTAATACCATATTTATGATATATCCAGCATCCCAACGCCGTGAGAATGTATATCCTTCGATTTCTGTGGGTGGTGTGAGTGGGAAAAAATGTTCGCTGTTGGGCTAACATTGACCACATCCCATCTCTGATCTGACATAATATCATTGTATCGGACAACTTTTTAAATCCTAATATCTTAATATCTCACTTCCGCAACACTTTTGCTTTTGCTATTTCTCAAACATCCACACTTGCCATCTCTCTCAATATCCATATTCGTCGTGCTGATGCATCGGACATCTTCCTGGATGTTTCTCAAACCATTTTCTGATACAACTCAAATGAAACCTACAAAAGCACTCCAACCTTCCCATTTCCAATCCCGGTTCGTATTCCTCCAAACAGATTTGACATTCCGCATCGTCTTGACAATCTTTCTCCGTAGCAATATATGGAAATACTCCTGTGCGTCGAGGTTGAGAGGGGCCGGCTGAAGGGTTTGATGTAAGAGGGTGAGGTGCGGCTACTGTAGAAGAAGCAGAAGCGCGGGAGGAGGTTGACTGAGTAGATGATTGGGTGATAGGTGGCGCCGGACGTGTTGTTGACGAGACTGGTGGGGGAGGTGTTGAAGTCGGAGTACCGATGAACATTCTAGATGTGGCGCGATCGATACAGGACATTATATGATCGGATCGAAGAGTTTCGGAATTAACAAGAGCTCTAGAAGGGAGTTCATGATGACAGATGGGACATTCATCTTCCTCTTGTATTTGAGGCGGTCGTGGTAAAGGACGGGTACGCAAATCTTCTGCTGATGGGACATATCGCCTAGCTGCTGTTGATACAGTAGCGTTTGGTGGTGTCTGAACGCTAGTAGACGGGCCTCGCACATTTCTGAGGAATGTAAACTATGATAAGAATTCAGCATATGCTTTTTTTTGTCACAAATCAATAACTTACCATATCTTCAGTTATATCCCGCCCAGTTCCAGCAACAGTCGAGCTTCTTGAACGTACACTTTGTCCAGAGCTCAGACCAGCTCGCTCTCTGTACCAGGTCTGAAACTCTTCCGCTGTTCTAGGAGTTGGATTCATCCCGGATGGTGAATATCTATTAGAGGTACTTTGGTCACGAATTGTATGTGAACGATGATCCGCAAGTCGAAATCGAGACTCCACTGGTAGGCTCCCTGGAATAGTCGTAGAGGGAACGATAGAACTTCGTGTTCGGCCGTGGTGCCCAATGTTGTATCGAGGCTCTGTGTTGGAACCTGTTTGGTTGGTTTGAGGTGGAGCTACGTTCGGATCAGGTACACAAGGGTTACACAGACGAACTCTGTCTCCTCCTCCAAACTCTAATGTATTTGTACGTCCTTCGCCCTGTGGATCATGGAGACGATTATAGGCCACAGAATTGTATGGAGACGGATGGTCTGGAGGTTGCACAATGTATTGATAGGGAATTGTAATTCGGTGCGGAGAACAAGAGTTGCAGACTACACGGCCGCATTTTCTACAAGAGTTAATAAGGTGAATAAAAAACGCACTAGGTATAGTAAGAGGGGTCAATTCACATACCGACAGTGATGCTTTCTGTTTAGCCAACTAAACCAAGCATTGCAAATAGGACATTGAACAACCTCCGAGTCCGGCTGCCATCTAGGAACTACAACTTCGCTCCGTGCAGATTCTCGCTCTCTCGTCTGCCTTTGTACAACAGTTGAGGAGGACCGAGATAAAGTTGGCGTGGCATCATCATCCGGAAGTGAATTCGTAGGATTAGCCGAGCTTCTTGGCGACTGCTCCGCGAGAGAATTTGGAGAAGATGATGCTCTTCTGCTCTTATTAGATTGAGTTGAGGTTCGCCTCGATGACGAAGATTGATTTGAAGGTCTGCGATCAAACCTAGATGACGTTGTATTTCGTCGAGAAGAGCTAGACGAGCTCGGAACCCGATCCAGAGTAGTTGACATGTCTGCTTGATAACCAGCAGTAGAAACACTATAACCTAAGCTGTCTTCCCTCATGGGGGCTTTTCCGAGACTCGCGTTTTGTCTACGTCTAACACTGCTAACTGAACTTCCCTCGCTAGAATTAGAAGCATCACTTCCACGACTCATTCGGAGCGTCGCCTGGTCATCCATAGTTCCTTCAAATGCAGCTATCTCTTCTTCTGTATTATTTTGTCGGTCGCTCACTAGGTTCATTTGTGAAGTAGTTCCGCCCTCAGATTCGTCGCTTGCCTCAACCATAACATGACTATTGAAGTTATCTTCGGAAGAAGAAGGGCCCATAAATCCCAGCATATGCGAGTCCTCCCCTGAATCACTGCCTTCGGTGTAGAAGTGAGACCGTGGAAAATGACTAGGACTCTTGAGTGGTCGATCCCCTGGTGTGAGAGGGGCAGAAGGATTGGAAGGGCCCTCAGCAGAAGTTACCCACTGATCATTCATCATTCTAGGACTTTAGTAACGATTTGATGGAACAGGATAGGTCGAAACAACAGGAGATAGTTTAATAAAAGTTCAGGGCCGTATATAGCTTCGGATACTGTATTATGTGACTGTAAATATTGTTAAGAATGCGAATTCCAACGCCGTATCGGCAATCAGTCTGGAGGACAAGAGTATTCCCTAACACAGTATAGCCTTCGCACAAACCCTTCCTGGACCCATTCAGGAATATAACTTCTCGCTATGCAGTAGAGCAGAATCGCAGAAAGCTGTTGTATCAAATTCACAAGTAATCGTCGAGGTCGAGGCGGGGTGAGTTGTGCTGCACGCGACCTAATAATCATCACATTAACAATTCCAATCCTCTCACAAGTACCCATGACATCCCAACTACTACAAACAGAGAACACTCACTGATTTTCTCCAAATCGATCCCCGTCAAATCCATCAAATCACCAAACGCGACAAATTTTCGATATCAACTTGGCAATCCCAAGACTCAACCAACAAATGATCGAATCCGTTTAACCGTTACAAGAAGTCCAGAGTCGTCTTCTCGGTTCCCCGTTGACATCAAATTCTTCTGATATGTTGTCACGTAGGACGAACAAACCGTTCGAAATGGCAATAGAATTACGATTAATTCTCGCGGAACTCAAAGTATTTCAAACTGTGTACTGGTATTAAGACGGATAATGTTTGACCAGTGAGGTGTGGTGGTAGCACATCAATCGCCCAGACAGACTATTGTTATCGCGATAAGAGTTACAAGAGGAATAGGCTATTTCCGTAAGCTTAATATGCTGCAGGGAATAAAATATCCTTGGCTTCGTTGGGTGTGGCGGTTACAATATATTGATCTTGATATGAGGTTTTAGAAGTATTTTCGGTGGGAGAGAACTATTTGTTCCGCATCCAGAAAACAGAATGCAGTTGAATGTTTCTATAAAGTCATTATAAGGCTACGCCAAAAGATTATTCATTTACAAGACGAATCAAATTATACCAGACTTCCCCTCGTCCCAGGTTTGCTTTGCGGTCTGTCAGGCGCGCTACCCACCTCTCTGTGGATCAATAGATATCAAACATCAAATGAATGCTCGAACGGTTGTTTGGTTAATCAACTAACTAAGACTTGTGTGAATAAGTTCGCCAACGCATGCTTGCTATCGTGCAAGTCATGCAGACAGAAAATACTACTCTAGTAACATTAATCACAACATCACAGCATGAAAAGATTGGACCGAGAGCTATCTTTATGAATTTTGGTATTAAATTTTTGTAATCGCAATCATTGTGCTAAAACTTTGAAATAGTTTTCCTCATCTAGTTTGTATGGTACTAACTCATTGTACTAGAGGTGCCATGCTAGACCATCGAACTGTAATAACTCATGCCACATGGTGGACCATATAAACAGGAGATCCACCAAGGCCATCGCTCATTGCAAGTAAACCAGTAACCCTCTAATGCTCCAAAAGTCTCAAGGAACCTTGTACCACAACGTTCTCCAAGATGGATCCGGGAGGAATGTCAATGGTTTGTCCTTCAGTTGCTACAATAATAACAGTACCTTTGAGAGTAACACCTCTTCCTAGGTTGACGGCTCCAGTGATGGTTAAGTGATCAAGCTCAAGAATTCTTGGGATGCTGCTGATACGCTTTTGGAAATCGGACACCTTCTTGAAGTCATTACCGAGCTTGATCAAAGGAGCTGGACCGAAACGGCTGGGGTCAATTTGGAGTTGACCGTGCTTCAAAGAGTACAAGTCTGACTTAACAAGCATTAAATCAGAGCAGGTCTTGACTGGCAAAAAACGTCTACGGGGCACGTTGACACCGTGAGCGTTGTGGAAATGACGGATGGCAGCTCCGACGGCAGTCTCAAGTTGGACGATCGAGACATCAGACTCGCCCTTCTTATCAGCTGGGATGGATTTGTTGTTTGGAATGATCTCCATCTCGAGCTCGTTGTTCTCGACAATACGCTTAACAGCTTGCAAGTTCAACCAGATGTTGTTGGTATTGAAGTACTTGAATTTCTTGATAGACTTGAACTCGTTGGTGTGCTCTTTTGGTACTTGAGCAATTTCGAGGAGACGAACGGAACCTTCGTAATCAATGATGGTACCACCCTTAACATCGGCCTTGGTCTTGTCGGTCAACTCCATAATGTATTCAGACTTGGTCTCGACCATGTGTTGCAAGATGCGGAGATCGACAACGGCACCCAAGTTGTCAACGTTGGAAAGGAAAACAATCTCAACACCTCTCTTGATGAGGGTATCGAGAATGCCGGAGTTGTAGAGAGACTCGAAAACATCTCCGTGTCCTGGTGGGTACCAGTCAGAGATTTGGGAATCGAATGTCTTTGGTGCAGGAAGGAGAGAGTCCTTCAAGATTCTTGGGTATCGAGATTGGTTGAATGTAAGAATGTCAATGTTGTGGCCCTCGTATTTCTTGATGATGTTTGAGGTATCGTCATCAGTGTTGAACGAGTTCATCAAGACGAAAGGAACGTTGACGTTGTATGTGCGGTTGAGGTATTCGATTTGTCGGACGGAAAGATCGAGGAAGGACATGCCATCACGGACTTCGATAACTGATTTTGGACCAACACAACCCATGGAAGTACCAAGACCTCCATTAAGCTTGAGAACAGCCAATTTGTTAAGGAATCCAACCGACTCGGAGTTTGCAAGCGAGTTATAATCGACGACTTGGTTCTGGGCAGGTGGGGCAATACGATCCCAGTCACTGTTGTTTCGTTAGATCAACGCATCTGTTGTATCCAAGAGGCTGATACTTACAGTTGGTTTCCCTTTGCCTTATCGTTCAAGTATCTGCGGAAAAGAGCAAAGAAGTTGTCCATCTCGGTCTCGAAGAGCTATAGGGCGTTAGATATGTGCGATACGTCTGCGGGAGCGTGCTTGGATTTACCTTCTTCTCTTCGGGATCCTCAACGGTGTCTGCGAGGTTGTTGAGAGCATTTCTCATCTGGCTGGCAGCTACAGATGTCGAGGTGTTCTCGAAAGCCTGATAGTTTGTTAGTTTAGTTAGAGCTGAAGTGTCGATAGTTGGAGCTAGGCTAAAATCTTGAGACTCTGGTATAAAAGAAAGGGAGATGGCAGGGTGTAAAATAACAGGTGGGTTTAGATCGAATGTTGAGCCATATTCGATAACACTGCTGTGGTGAAGAACCTTTGCCCCTTCAAAGTTGGCTTTAACTTGTATGCAAACTCTAGTTGAATACAGATACCACTTTTGAATCATTCGAAGATTCTGCAATTTCTGGCATCCACTGGATGATATGGAGACTCATCTCCTGCCATTATATGTGCAAAGGCAAAAGCCCCTTTGAAGTACTGTATCTTGCATATTGGCATTGTGATTTTTTAGACCAGAAGATTCCCGCTTTTGTCACCTGGAAGGATGAAGATGCGTGGTCTTGTGTAGGTGATCCATAACGGAAGAGATGGTGAAAGTTGATATTTCATGAAAGGACAGCACATACCATGTGTGATTGTGTCTTTCCATGGTGCTTGCGGGCGAATTCGCCATTATCGTTTGGAGATAAGCTCGAAGGCTTGAGGTGGGAAGGGAGAGCGCTTTTCAATGCTTGTGCCATTTTGTATTATGATTTTGAAGATATTCGAAGATTCGTAAGAAGAAGTAAATGGTTGGGTATGTTGAGGAAGAGGAGAAGCAATCTAAGCTTTCTATGAGAGGAAAGAGAAGGTCAGTTAGGCGATATGATCAACACGGTGAATATTTAGCACGACAGGGAAATCTGGTATGAAGTTGTTGTGCCCCGCCAAAGCCAAGGAAATGATAATTCGGTCACTTACTTTTGGAATTTCAAGACAAGAAGGTATTTACACGCAATAAACACACGAAAGAAGATATCAAGTCAAAGAAGCAAGTTTGTCAAGATGGAAGAAAATGTTGACTCCTTTATATACGTTCAGATAGTGCCTCGTAGTAGAGCTCGTAGTTTAGTTTTACATAGGTAAAATGAGTTGGTTCCTCTTAGCTCTGAAATTAGGAAGTGAAATAATATAAATTATCCAATGTTCGGGGAAAGGTTGAGGGGCTGGGCAGTTGGTTGTTACTAGGTAGGGAGGTGGGAGGTAGTAGGTAGTAAGTAGTAGGTGGTAGTTTGGCTAATAAGAGGGGTGCTTTCATACTAGGATCATGACCAATCTCGTCTCATTCGTCCTCCCGATGAAATGTTGTTACATCTACCACCCAAAGAATCCACGGTGTTGCATGAACAGATTCATGTTGTGGCAAGAAATCCTGAAGACATGGATAAATTGAACGAATTCAACAATTACAGATCATCTAGAATTACATGTGGTATGGATATTATTGGTGTTACTACGACCCTTTTCCGGTTTTTCATCGTGGTACATTCTCTATGGAAGAAAGAAACATGTACTCTTCTTACCCATATCGTACACTCTCATATGATGGATGATGGTTGAAAGGAGAGCTCTACTCGCTCGTACGTACCCAGAATGCCATATTTCAATCGTCACCAATGTTAGGTACCAAGTTTCTATCTATATTTAACAGCCACCTAACCTCTTGGTCCATATTGACCCGGTCCGGCTTTACCCAGCTATGCTGTTATGGAATATTCATCGCGGTCAGATATCTCCACCATGGATCTAAGACCCAAACTATCATATTTACTATGGAGAGCTTCAGCTCTAGATTCCACTTTAGCTTCTTCTTTGGATTTTCCGTCCTGAGTTCTCTCAGTCGAGAAGAAAAAGGGGTTCCTGCGACCCTGACGAAAAGCCAGACACCAGAATACCAGAATGACAATCGTGAAGAAAAAAGAAAATCGACTCCAAGACAACATGTCACTGTGTTGATTTTTCAAAGACTATCAAACATCGATTTGAATCAAAAACATATTTCATTCATAAGTTCTAAGAAGTTCAAAAGATGAAAATCAATTGTGATTGAATTTTGGAATATACATGTAATAATATTTGTCGATGGCTTCCAGTCTTTTCTGAGGATCACGGAGAGAGGGGTTTATTAAACTTTCAACCACCTGGTGAATGGGGCCGATGGAGCTACTTACTTTTATTACTATCTACTCTGTACGAAGTATATCAACCAACTCTCTTTATAATTTCCGAAGACTTTACGTTGTGCTATCATGAGCCGCAGCTTCTATTCGAAAAGGCTGAAGGGTAAAGTAAAAGCACACTTACACTTATTACACTTACACAACATATTTTACCCTGTCCGGTACCTCTGAGAAAGCCACAGGTCGATAGCTCCCTTTAGCTTCCGTCCCATTTTCTCAAAATCATACCAAAAAGATTTCAGATTACTTACACGAACTGTCAAAATTGTCAATGTGGCACATTTCCGACGCCAAAAGAGATCACCCAAATACGAGCACCTAGCGACTTCAAGTTAATCCAAATGCGATTTGAAGAATCTCCTTTTAACCTTCTTGTCGCATTCGAAGGAAGGACGATAATTTCATATATAGGTAACTTCCAATATCCACGTCTACAATTTCCACGTGGGGTTTCTCAACGGTAACAAATTATTTGCATCTCACCCAGCCTTATCTAGGAACCCAGCGAACCATCTTGTGTAACGATAGCTTCCAAACATATCATTTTGATTTACTAAACATCTCAACATTTCTTCAAGTCGAAGTGATCTATCCATATTTACCAATATATCTATCTACATCATCAACCAAGCAGGCAAAGTTCAACCAACGCCAGATTCACGCAAAAGTAAGGAGATATCATGAATCCACGTGATGTTCAAGATAAATATCACACCATGAGTCGCAATATTCCTTTCCGATAACGTTTTTTGTTGCATATCGCATTTTAGGATGAGACATGCATAAATATCCGTCGAATCAACGGAT